TGGCGTCCGTCCTCCCGCCGGGGTAGTGTGCAAGCGAGCGAGCGTGCGAGCGACCTTTGGATCTCATCCTCCAGGCCCCGAGCAACTTCCTGAGAGTTGCCGTTCTTGGACTTTTGTGGGGATAGCTGTCTTGCTTCGGCGTCCTAGGAGGCTGAGGTGTGGAAATAGGAAGCATGGCTGACTCCGGCGTTAGCCAGCGTCCTAGCCTACCCCGGGCCAGGGTTTTGTTTCGCTATTAACAGTTTTTACAAACCGAGATGTGTGGTTTTAGGTATGATGATAGCTGCTATTAGTGGGTAAGTGCCAAATACTTTGCACATACATTTCCATCCCGTCTTTCCAGACTCCCATGAAGGTTATTCGATGATTCGATTTTTCAGCTGGAAAATGGAAAAGTTAGTGAGGTCAGGTAACTTGACCTAGTAACATTTTCGCTACGGGTAAGCCTTTGAAGGTTTGCTAGAGAGTAGAGCTGAACCCGGCATCTGCATTCTGTTGTCCTGCCATTATCCTTGTTATTCCTGTTTCTCCTTTAAGGTTTTCACGGCTTAAAATTTACATTTATCCAGCTAAGAAAGCGCATAGTGTGCTCTTTCGTATCTGACAAATGACAGCCATCATCTCTGCGCAACTTCTCTATGTGATGTAGAATTAGATAATTCAGAACCTCAAATAGTCTTTCTTGCAGTACAGGTTATTAAAAAAAAACATGTTCTAAAGCTGATGAAAAGAAGGGTCAAGATTGTACAGTCAAAGCTTGCTATTTAAGTTTTAAATCAAGGTGACTGCTGTAGTACGGGTATAAATTGAACATTATGAAGGTATTATGAGAGCATAAAATTGAGCAATTTATAGGATATTGAATCTAATGCTAGACACATGAGCAGTTCATGCACTATTTCTGAAAACTTGAACTGTTTGATAATTTAAAAAAAATAGAACCTTGAGCTCTCCTAGAAACAGATTAAGAGGTGTTTATGGAACACAAAGGCTGGGAAAACTTAAGCTCTGTGTTTGGGGTTGGTGGATGCTTGAGAATAGTCTGGACTATTCTTTGAAGTCTTCCAGTTGTTTATCCCAAGGAGAATAGGAATGTCCTCTGAAATAGCAGAGAATTCCAGGCACAAGAGCTGACTCAGCAAAAAGATGTATACCTTTTGAAGATGGAGGGGAATCAATGCCAAAGTAGAATGGAATTTAGAACAGGCTTGGTTTATATCATCATCATCATCATCATCATCATTTCTCCTAGCTCACCTTTCCTAGCCTGAAGAAGCCAACATTTAGCACTTTTTGTGTAGCAGCTTCTTCCTAGTGTGCTGGAGTTTAGCTACCATGTATAACAATGTTTCCACTGGAAAACATTTTGGGTATATCAGAAAACCGGTTATGTATTTGTGTTCTAGTTGAACAGCCGTTACTGGAGCTTCAGTTTCCTTTGCTTCTTTTTTATTCTTGAGTGGAAATTTACTACTTCATGGCTAGACTTTAGTGGAACCTATTGGAATGATAGCGTGAAGGATTTTTATAAAGGAGATCTAAATGCTGTGCTGTTTAAAGGACTGGCTCTAGCCAGTATGAGAGAAAGGACTGTTTGTCCAGGGTAGTAGGTAGCCTGGAGCAGCACAGTAAGACTGGAGTGCTGTCACAAGGCCACCACAAGCAGCAGCAGAAGACCTGAGCTGGCATCCTTTGCCAAAAGGTACATTATAAACTTAGCTGCCTATATTTGTTTGTTTGTCAGTTAAAGTCAGAAACTTCTTATTTATATGGATAGTTAGCCAATTATACAAACAGCTAATGTTCACTGAACCCTTGCAGTAGTCTAGTCGTGGCACATGCGTTCTCATTTATCTTCAGAATTTGTAGGAGATTTATAACCCCGTCTCATCTGGTGGCCAGAGCTGGGCAAAACATAAGAACAGCTGAGCCAGTTTAGGGGAGGGGGTGGTGGAGGCAAAGTTGAAGTTTGTTTTGCTAGAGTAGAGCCATTCTCAAAGTGAGACTCCAAGCAATGTCAGCATCATCACCCTGGAGTTTTAGCATGGTGGAGCACTGGTCTCAACCCTAAACTTTCCTGATTAATAGTTGAGTCCACCAAGTGGCTCTCATAGATGTAAAAGTGTCCTAGTTGCTGCTCGGTGTGTGTGGGGACTAGGAAATGGAAAACATTTCAAATTTCTAAGCCAGTGTTAAGTCATTTTTATTTTTTGCACTCATCTCAAACCCAGCTGCTTGTCTGTTGATTAAAATGCAAATTCTCTACTTAAGAATCCCTGCTCAAAACTTTTTTGTGGTAGGCCAATAACATGTTTATTATTATTCAGTATGTGTGAGACACTATGCTACCTCAGCCTTCATAGTTACAGGATGTTGGTATACTCTGTCTGTCTGTCTGTCTGTCTGTCTGTCTGTCTCTCTCTCTCTCTCACACATACACACACACACACACACACACACACACACACACACTGGGGGAGGGGTGAGATTCAGAAATGCTAGGGTAAGTTGTTAGTTGTTTAGTAACAGATTGGTATAGTTGACTCCAAGCACATACCCTTTCTGCTACTAAAATATTTGGAGATGTTTAAATGGAAACAAGATAAAAAAAGCACACAGAGTCCCCAAGGTTGTATTCCATTTAGTAACAACAATGCTGAGCTGAAATTGTCTATAACTGTGAAGTTATAGAAGCTTGTGGGTTTTTTCCTTATTATCAAACACGTATTAATATTAAATAGTTCATAAAGAATAAAAACAAAGAGCTTTTAAAATATATAACTTCTTTCAGTTTAGTCTCAAATAATTTTAACTTTTGTAACAATTTCATAAAGTCAAGGCTTAATGAATAAAAGCAAACTGATTGTACATTTCATAGGAACTCATCAGCTAAACTGGAATCAGACCTCTAGAAATAAGAATTTTGGGTTGTGCTTTGCAAATCTATATAGCATATTGATCAATAGTTTTTAAACATTAGGTGATTAAGCAGGTATATATATATATATATATATATATATATATATATATATATGCCTATCAATCACCAAAATGAAGTATTTGATACATGGCTTCATCTTGGTAGATAACTAATTTAATATCACCAGTCTTCAAAATACATGTAAACGGCTCTGTAAGGAATAGTTTGAGATTACGTCATTAGCATATGATGATAAGTAGATTTTCATGGAGGGTTTTTATTGGGAGTGTCATTGAATCATGCAGTTTATTGCTGAGCACATTGTATTAGGAGGCTGTATCATTTGTGCTAGATTTGCTAAATAGTTTAGAACTATCAGTTTGAGAACTTCTGTTAAATGAAGTCTTGTTTTTCCTCTACTAATTAATGTAGAATAGTTGTGTTCACTAAAAAAAGAAACCTGTTTTTAACTGAACTTTTATAGTTGCTGTAATGCTGTCTCAGATTGATGTTCAATTTTCAGTTATTATCTTGCCTATATTACATTTTATCTGTCCCTGTCTACTCTTTCAGATACTTCTGGATCTAGGATTTAACTTTTAACAAAATTTTATGTTAAAATTTGAGTTATTTTCTCAAATATCAGGTACTTTTTAGGTTTGAATTGAGTGTAATCTTTGTGTTACGTTGTATCATCTCGTCCATATGCTTTGATGTCTTTTACTAGAATATAATCTTCATTACTTAATTTTATGGAGGAAATATATTTTCATTTTGATTGCCTATGTCAGATTATTGGTGCTGATCTTCTACTATCATTTAAAGCTATTTTTTTATGTGTTTTTGAAGTGCGCGCTTCAAATGAATTGTTTGCATTGTGTTTTAGGTAAAAGGATTGCTGTTTCAACTCAGGGAAGCAATATCCTCGTTGTCTTTGCATTTAAACTGCAGCAGCAGCTTGGAGATGAACAGTGCAGCCGTGATATCTGAGAACAAAGGGGCATTTGCCAGCTAAATGTCAGCACATCTCATGTGATTGTTTAAAGCCCGGCAGCAGCCCTCCGAGTCAGCCAGCACAGCGACAATGCTTCCTTCCCACACTGGCTGCTTGAAGAAGTTTTAATACAGATTCTTGACATTTCATGTATATCTAATAAAACAAAAATGAGTGAAGCCCCCAGATTCTTTGTTGGGCCTGAAGATGCAGAAATCAACCCTGGAAATTACCGTCGTTTCTTCCACCATGCAGATGAAGAGGAGGAGGAGGAGGATGAGTCTGTGAGTTGTTTCTTTTGTGCCACATGAGGACAGTACAGAGCT